ACACACACACACACACATCTAAACACCCCCTCCTCACACACACACAAACACACTCACGCACATACACACACACACACACAAACACACATCCAGAAACACACATACACACACAGACACCCATCCACACACACAGACACACATACTCAAGCACGAACACAAAACGCGCAAAATGTACGGCACATTAAGTTGCAAGCCCCGGCGTACAGGAACGATGTATTCACTCTACATCCGTCGGTCGTTATCATGTCACTATTTATTTATAACAACAACTGACAGGTAAAAGAATCGAAGAAATAATGTCCAAGGTTCATGCGAATCCCAAAGTTTCATTTTTATAATTACGTTATCATTTTTTGTACACTGCCACTCATGGATATGTTTTGTTTCTGTTTCACCGGATACGGGGTGGAGGTAGGGAGTTAGTAAGTGAAAACTACACGTTAGTTCAATTTCGTCTGACCGCAGTTAAAACAAGACCAGTAAGAGCTTTGCAGCACTTGCAACACGAATAAGTCATATAAAAGCCGAAGATTATTATAGATCTAGATCTATGTGCTTATAAACGATAACATACCAATAAAAAAAGAGAAGAATAGAAACGCAAAAAAAGGAGAGATAAGGAAAATAGCGATAGAGAGATGTTCAACAGGAAAGAAGGGGCATTCCACACCAGAGCGACCGCCAACCACACCCACTTCCTAGACGTTCATGGATGATCTATTCATTTCACAATTTGACATTCGTTCTACACAGTTCTCTTTATCCCCCTTTCATTTGTGACGATAGTTGAGAATAAAAGGGGACCAAAGACACGTCGAGGGGTTCACGCGATCCTTCCACTTTCTTTTTCCATTCACGTCATCACCATCTCTTTTGTTCGCTGCAATGCACGAAAGAAGTCTCAAGGAGTTTCTTTTTTTTAGAAGGGTAGGCCTATAAGAATGTCACAGCTCGTACGTGTTTTTCGTTGTTGTTTTTTTCAGCTTTCTTTTGATTTCGTCAGTTGATATGTGGATTTTTTTTCTTTTTAGTTGTTGGTTCATTTTTTAAATATCTATTTTTACTCTTTTGGCTTGAAGGCTTATGAAGTTTTAGAAAAGAGACGCCCAGTGGTGAACTTTTTTTTAAATTTCAGATCATGTCAATAAATGGGACGCCTGGTCCAGTATCCCTAGGAACTAAGAACATGTTCACGCTAGGCTAAGCAAATACAAAACAAACCGACACACAAGCAAACAAATCAGCC